CGGGACGCGCCAGACCCCGCTTTCCCCGAAAGAGGTTCGGTTTCCGTGAAGACCGGAGTTTCCCACCCGCTTCGCTTTGACGTTTCAACTTCCCCGTCCGCGGCCGAGCCAGATCTGTCCCCGGAGCCCCGCGCCCGGCCTGCCTGGGGACGGCCTAGCCTGGGCTTCCCGTCGGCTCGCGGATGGAGCCCAGCGACGGCGGAGGGCTTACCTGGGAGCCCCGTCGAGTGGGCCAGGCAGGCGAGGTCCGTGTGGCCGCGCATCGCTCCACCGCTGGCGGCGGCTGCGTCCCGGCCGGCGCCTGGAGCCCAGCGGCAGCAGCGGCGCCGGACAGTGCCTGGTCCCCTGTGCCGGGAGCGCCGCGGCGGCGAGCAAAGGTAAAGGCCTGGCCGCGAACTCCCTGTGACCTCGGCCTGAACTCGGGCGTGCTGAAGGAGCCGCCGCTGCTTCCTCCGCCTCCCAAGCAGGCGGGCGGGCGGCGAGCGGCGGGCCGGGGGGGGGGGAGACGGAGGCCGGACCCTGCGCCCGTCGGGGAAGGGACGCCGTCGCAGCTTCCCGGGCCGCCGCACAAGGGCGCTTACAGGCCTGGCCGAATACGGCTCCCCCCGCCGCCGGCGAGACTTCAGGGGAGGAGGAGGCGGAGGAGGGAGCGCCGCTGGCCCCCTCGGAGGTGAGTGGCGCGGGCTGGGAGCGGGCAGAGGCCGGTCACCCTCTGAGCGCCCCCGCGCCCTGCCTTCTCCCCCTGCCGCCTCCAGCGCGGGGAGCCTCCAGCGCCCGGAGCACCACCTTCCCCCGGCGCGGCACGTCCAGCGAGGAAGGCTTCAGCCTCTCTGCCCTCTTGCTGGACCTCCAGAGGAACTGGTTGGCCACTGTGTGAGACGGGAGGCTGGACTGGATGGACCGTTGGTAGGATCCAGCAGGGCTCTTCTGACGTTCTAATACACTCAGGACATCCTGGATTAATTCCTTTGTGCTTCTTGCTGGAGCAGCCACATTTCCTCCTCCCAAAAGGCAGAACAGGCGGGAAGAGGGGGAGGGGTATTTTGTAATGTACTGATTTGGGTAGACGTGAGAGAGACACTTCAGCATTTTGCTCTTTGTGCTTTCCCCCCCTCCTCACAGTCTCCTGTGTTCCTCCTCTTCCTGGACTGCGTCTGGCAGCTGCTACGGCAATTCCCACAATCCTTTGAGTTCACGGAGGCCTACCTGTTGGCCCTGCACGACAGCACCTGCGTCCCGTTTCTCAGCACCTTCCTATTCAATTGCCAGTGGGAAAGAGGGCGGAATAATCAGGTGAGCCAGTGGTGGGGGCGGTGGTGGTAAGAAACCCTGAGGTATTCACAGGCCTACAGCTCCTGACCGGATGCGAGAGACCCCCCCCGGTTAAATCCGAGCTCCCCTCTCCTCTTTGCCTGGGGAGGAATCCGGGCTTGGGTTTTTAAGGACCGGCCCGATGGAGCGCCTCGGAGACCAGCCGGAGTTTGGGGAGATCAGCTCGGCCGAGCCCCCCAGCTCCTTTCGCCTCCACCGGGAAACTCTCCGGGGTCTCCAACGGGCGCTCCTGCGGCTCAGGCGGCTCCCCTCCGAGGGGCAGGGGCTCCGCGGACTAGGGAGACGCGATCGAGAAAACCGAGCTGGCCAAGCCGCCCGCGCCCTCCCTGCGTCTTTGGGGGGACGGGGGGACGGACGGAGAGAGCGCTTCTTCTGGGCCCGGGGAGCCCTGCCTGCCTGCCTGCCTGCCTGCCTCGGCGCACTCCAGCAGCGGACTTTGGGCCAAGAGAGCCGGGTTTTTAAAAATATATATCTAGGGGTGGCGGAGTTGCGGGGATGTCTCTCTCCGGTGACGGCGCGGCGAGGCGCATTTGCGAACACTTCGAGGCCGGCCCAGCTCAGGACGCAAAAAGCCCAGCGCCCCCCACGACCCACCCCCCCCCAACCCCACCTCTGTCTCCCACACCCCCACGCTCCTAGGGGGCTCGCTGCTCGAGCGGAGCCAGGGGCGCTTTCGCTTTCTCCTTCGCCGCTCGCCGCGACGGGCCCTGGGGACGCGAGTCCTCCTCGGCCCGGGACGGCTGGAGAAGCGCACGGCGGGCGGACCTCACACCGGCAGGAAGGAAGGAAGGACGGACCGCGGGGCTTGGGCGGCCTGGGCGCCGGGCTCCATTCGAGCCGCCCCCCAGCCCTCGAGGCCCTTCCTCCCCGAAGGGTCAAGCTGGTCGTGGTCCTTCCAAGGAAGCGAAGCGGCCCCGAGAGCGCTTGACGCCCGCCGGACACCTCGGGAAAAGCCCCCTGCGCGGCAAACCTGCCTTAGGATGGCGGCCTGAAGCGCGCAAGGGAGGGCCGGGAGTCGGGCGGCGCGGGCGGAGCTGCATCGAAGGTGTCCCGGGGCAAGGGGGTCGGGGCCAGCGCTCCCTCTAAGCTGCGGAGTCTTGGGAGCAAAAATCCTACTTGGTGAGCGACTGGCATGAAAGTTGTGAGCGAGCGATTGGGCTGCTGCATAAATGAGTTTGCTCTGGTGCCCTCCTTCCTGAGCTGAGACAAAAATGTTTGAGCCGGAGGGTAAAAAACACTAACTCAGCTCAGAGGAAACATTGGTCGGGGCCTTTCGCCTTGGGAGGGAAGGACACCCCCCCCCCCTTCGGCCCTTTGCTCCAATGGGGGGGGGTTTGTCTTGGTGCTTGCAAAAGGCGGGTCTTCTTTCTAATGTGACTGTAAAGACTCGACAGAATGGCCAGAATGCTTCTTTCCTTCCCAAATGCAACATAGACATTCCCTTAAATAAGCAGCTCTCTTCTAGCCTCATGTGTGAAGAGGTACTGGTGGTCTCCTTCCGGCTTCTTCCTCTGGGGCAAAGGAGAGGAGCTGCCCTCTTGGCTTTTCCATGGCAGAGTGGGAATGACCTATTGTGCACAACACCCCTGGGAGAGCTGGGCTAGGAGCAGAGCCTTTTTGGTTGTGGCTTCAATTCTGTGCAATTTGTGTCTTTTGGAGAAAAGGAAAACATCCTTCTTTCTTTCTTTCTTTCTTTCTTTCTTTCTTTCTTTCTTTCTTTCTTTCTTTCTTTCTTTCTTTCCCCACCTTTCCCTCCAATGGGGACCCAAAGCAACTTACAGTATCATTCTCCTCTCCTCCAGTTTATTCTCACAACAACCCTGGGAGGTAGGTTAGGCAGACAGGGAGTTCAGGTCTGGCCCAAGGTCACCCAGGCAGCTTTCTGACACTCTTAACCACTATACCACACTGGCTCTCTAAAGCAAGCTTTTAATTTCTCATACAAGTCAACTTGTTGATTTGTAAGGTTTCCTTTATATCAGAAACCAGCAACTTCTGGCTTCGTAGGGGATGAGATATGGCTCTTTTTAAAAAAAGAAAGAACATTAAATCTCTAAGTTACGGTTTATTGGAGTGGTAGGTGGGATGCTGGAATCTCCTGTCTGCCAAGGGCATAAAAGGCAACGTTTTCATGGGCCTTAAAGGGCTTCCTAGAGATGCTTTAGAGAGAGGAAATGACAGAGCTGCACGTTACCCGGAAGCCAACTGCGAATTATGCACGCATGCTATCAGGGTGCTAAAATGATGGTGCACAGTGCACATTTATCACTTGTTGTGACCTGTGTGCTATTAAAGGACTCAACAATCTGGGTTTAGGCTGTAGCAGCTTTATGGATCATTTATCAACATGTTATTTATCCGTAATGCAGAGTTCTGTATTTTCAGGTGG